GTGCCTGAATCCCCTCTCAAACGCAAGAAAGAGACGACTTCCTAAAATCCTTCCCCCCAGTCATTTGAAGCAACCAAGAAAAAAGGGACGACTTAAGCAAGTGCCTGTACTGGAGGCCAGCTTCAAAAGGTCATGAGAGGCCATGATACGCTGGTTGTGAGCTATGGTAGTGAGGTAAGGGGCCATTATGAGGCCGCACCGGCTTCATTCTTCCCAGCATCACATTGCAGACAGTGGATTGCCCCCAAACTCCGAAATTCCAGGCCGTGGGAATTGTGTGACATCCGCAGAAATTTGCAACTTTTGTTATCGTTTGCTTATTGTTTTGTTATCGTTTAGGGCGCTACAAATCGAACCTAAAATCGAGGAATGCTGCTGCTCTGCCACCAACAGCTTGGATTGTCGCCAGAATTCCACATAAGCAGGTAGGATTACAAGGATCACTTCTGCATAGACCGCTAGGATTACATGGTTTGTTTCGACATTGGCAATCAAGCATTTGAGCATGATTGCTGTATAAGCAAGTAGAGGTCTAGGGAGTATTGCCATAGAAACGTCGAGGATCATAGGAATTCTTGCCATATGCCACATAAGCAGCTTAGCTTCATTGGATTTGCGCGTCACATAGACAGCTAGGATGATAGGCGCTTGTGCCATAACAGCCTCTTACCACATAAGCAGCTAGAATTACACAGAGTTCTAGTTGTAAATAGCTTTAATTCTGAGAGTTCTTGCCAAAGAAACAACTATATAGGGAGTCTTACCATATCGCGATTCACGCAATAGAAACTGCCAGGAAAACAAAGATTCCTTCCGGTCTGCACAGCTGTGGGGCTTCCGCGCAAGAGCAGCTAAGTTCATGATTATGATTATGGGGATTCTTGCCATGCAAGGAGCCTGGACGCGAATGAACTCTTGCCAAATTAGGGTTGTAGGGGTGCTTGGCCTTTTTCAGCAGATAGTCGACAAAGCAACTTTGGCATGTCAGCAGATAGGATTAAAGGCACTACGCCATAAAAACAGCCAGGCTTCCATGCTTTCTTCTCATTGGTGCAGCTGGGAAACATGCTTCTTGCTGTATAAACAGCCACAACTAAAGGGACCTGTGCCATATATGCGGGGTATGAAGCTTTCGAAGTAGAAGGAGCTGGGACAGGAATCAGCTAGGGTCACTGGGATTTTTGCTATGACAAGCAGCTATGACCATTGTTCTGGCCACATAACAGCCTAATTCATGGGATCGAATGGTCCGAAAATCGGCGTTATCGTTTTTTTGCTCTTATCATTTTGCAGGCTTTCCAACTTAAGGACGGGCTTCCTCTTAAACCTTATACCGGAGGCTTTTATCATCCCTCAAGTGAGCATCAACATCCCTGACTGTCTGTTTCGCCCTGGCCATGACGCATCACAAGAACTCAGCTCCACTCTCATGCCCCAAGGCGATCGTTGAGCGCGCAGCTTCTCCAATTCGCGGCTTGCAGACCAATCCTTTGTGGTCGAAAAGTTCTGCTTTTCCATCAGACGTTGATGTTTAACTCGCGGGCTTGGGCCTCATTCTTCAAGACAAAGTACTCCAGAGACAGGAACATGTAGATGGTGTAGAGCTGGACGGCCACGTTTATGCAGATTGCAACAAGCTTTGGCATCATGGGCACTCTTCGGTCTGCGAGGACAGCAGCCCCAGCGTGGCGAAGGCAGCGTAGCGTGCCCAGCGCGCTTGCCCCCTGGATCCAAGGATTGCCCCAATGCCCTGCACCGTGGCCAAGAACGCCATGACAAAGATAAGGACGGCTCCAATGAGAGCCCCGAGCCCTAGGGCAGTGAAGCCCATCACGGCATAATACCCTGCGCCAATCAGGCCCAGGATGCCGCAACAGAGGGTCCCGCCAAGCATCGGCAGGCAGCAGCAGCAGAAGTCCGTGGGCGGAACGGGCAGCGACCAGGGCGGCAAGGTGGCCGTTGGCTGCGGCAAGGAGCGGAAGGCGCCCCGGGAGTCACGATCACAGCAGCCATGATGGGGGCGCTGAAGGGAACAGAGCTGAGCAAGCACACGGTCAACTGGGGAGCCCAAATGCTCTTGTGCAGCTGTTCAATGAACCAATGAAGAGGCCAGTTGCCTACGCCGTATGCGTGACAAAGCATGATGCAGCGCAAGAAGCTGACTTGACTCTGCCTTCATCCAGAGTCCCAGTAAAAGCCTGCATAGTTTCCATTTTATTTTGCATTATTCCTACATAACCCCAACAGAATCCTATAACAATATGGTATTTTCCTTGTTCTTTTCCATTAGCCCTAAGCCCTAACCTATATAACCCCATTATAGTAGTTTCCATTTTCTTTCCATCATCCCTCCATAACCCCATCCTCCAAGCGATGCTTTACACTACCTCGGGTCCCAAGTCCGAGGCAGCAACGCAAGTGAAGAGCGCTTTTTTGGTGGTTGAAGCTAGTAAGATTACTCTGTATGTAAAGTACTATACCCATAACAAGGAGGATATGTTCTTACTCTATAGTGGGTACGATATGAATATCCTCAAATAAAGTACTACTCAAATGGCTTGTGGCTGCATGCAGAGAACGAGTGCCTACAAGCATCTACAAGGTTATATAGGGATGATGGCAAAGAAAATGGAAACTACAGGGATTATAGGGGTTATATAGGGATTAAGCTTACTCTATGTTGGGGAGTACCGTATCCGCATTTACTAACCTTCTCACCTAATTAACTTTCATGTCTGGAGATCTTGGTAATCTCCTACTTGAAAGTAGTTCTACATGAACCTTTGGTTAGGATAACTCTAGCTAAATGACCAACTCTTGGGGAGGGGCTTCTAAGTCCACTTGCAACTGCCCATGAACCTCCAAGTGTTGTCATCCCAGCATTGCAGGACCTGGGCCCCAGCAGCACGGCTCAGTAGGGGATGCTTAAAGCGCGTCGGCTGGTGCACGGGGCCTTGCTGCGGGAAAAGATATAGGCATAGCAAGAGCAACACGTCCCAGGAGTCTGACTAAAGAATAGCCCAGAACACTCAAGAAATAGCCCAAAAGGCCATTCTACATACTTTGGGGGTTCAGGGTCCCCATAGTAGTCCCTATATAACCCATTATAAAGGTTTCCATGTTCTTTTCCAGTTTTTTATTCCCAGCTAACCAAATGCCAGCGTAGGGGCCTGAGTAGGTGGTTGCAAGTTGACCTTAAACGCTACCTGGACCCCTAGACGATGTAGAATCATGGGCCCTTTTTGGCTGTTTTTTTTTAAAGTGTCTAGGGCTACATTATGGCCCTTTTGGCTGTTTGTAAGTGTTTAGGGCTATAAGTTTACACACTTTTGGGGTGTAGGTACACCCTGAACCCCCTAAACCGTAAACCCTGAACCCTCACCGCGTGGACAGGTGCGTAGCCTAATCTCGCAAGTAACCAC